TGAAAATACTTTTTATTCACTTTGTATCAGCAAATAAATAAAAGTATAGTGCTAAAATGCTTTTCTGTGTGGTTGCTCATTTTCACGTATACAGCCCAAACCACATTTTACAATAATTTTAATCTGCATGATTTAATTGTATATTTTATTGAATTTTAGTGCATAAAAATACAATTTTGGGAAGTAAAAGACTATTCACATACATTTTCCTCATACAGGATAGTGGAAAGAAGTCTGATGAGACTAAAGTCTTTAAAAAGCAATGAAAATTATTTCACACATGCTCTATTTAAAATACGTTTTATTGTAGCATCATCATATAGATAACATAACTCCTTATGTTGCATAAAAGATAATTGGTTCTATTTCTGAATCATGTAAGTTTTCACCACATTTTTACCTTCAGCTTTTTCTCTGTCAGAAAATGGGGAATGATACCAGACAAATGTGGATGGACATGCAAGGGAAATCCAGTCTCTTATTTTTTAAAACAGAATGCTACTAATTATTTTAAAAATTTTAAGTAGAAGCGGGAACTTTTTCTTTTTTTCTGTTTCCTTCCTTGCTATGTTGATTGAAACATGGAAGATGAATCTGGAGCCATATAATAAATGAAAAATGTAAGCCTGTCATGTGATATTATATTTCTATCAAATCTTTTTTTATATTATGAATAGATGTCAGTATGGCAAATAAATGCACACTAGCCTGTATAGATGGATTTCCAACATTATTTTAATTTTCTTGTAGATTCTTATATACTCTAGATAAGGATTCCCAAACTATTGTGAATATTCTTTGTCAAGATTTATAGTTTCTTATATGATGTCTGATAGTAGTTTATCAGGGGACTTGAAAATACTTACACATGTTTCTTTCCTATGTAATTATTTTCCAAAGTAACTTTTAAATCTTAAAATGTCTTGTAGAGTGAAAGGTATGACTAAGCAATCCATCAGTTTAACAGAATGTACTTGAAGGATGATTAAATTTGGATTCCACCTATTTCTTTTGTCTTTTTCAGTGAGCAGCCAGTTTTAAGCTTTTCAGTTAGAATATTTCAATGAATTTGTCAATTAATGACAACAGATGAAATAATCTAGAATGACATCTATTTTAGTTAAATTACTTACTTAGAATCTGAAAAGTAATCAAGTTAGGTGCATAAAATCAGCTCTGAATATTATACAACAGATCCGATTTCATCTCACAATTGTTTAAAAAAAAACCAAAAGGGTAGGTGAATTCAAAATTTTCAGTACTAGCTTCTACATGTAATCAGATCATTCAATTCAAATGAACTTAAAATTGTAAGGTGTTCGAATCATGATTCTTATATTCTTGTCATTTATAACATTATATAATATTAAGTTTCCATGTAATCATAATCCATTTAGTATAAAATAACCATTTTAAATGTTCATAGTACTTCTCTGAAATAGATGAGGATTTATGAATGGAACATACTGTACTTCTCTATGGTTTTTAAAAATCTACATATTCACACTGCTAAGTGAATTGTTTTACTTGATATTTAGTTTGTTACATTCTTAGCAATCCTATAACCTGGTGTATTGCAATCACTATTTCTAAAATGTCCAGTCCTTGGCTGGAAATTCCGAGTTGCTAAATTTTGGAGGATGTAAATTTGGTACACAGCTGATTTATAATTTCCCCCATTTGTAATTTATCATACAACACAATAATATTAATAAATTCTAAGAATATTGAGGGCAGATAAAAGGAAAGAATTAGAATTATACTGATGGTCACAGTAAAACAAAACATTCAGTCAGAATTCTTTAGTGAATTTTACACTGAATTTTGGTGAATTTTAAGGGAAACCAAAGCAATCATGTAGTTTTTGGATGCAATGTTGTATCAAGCTGAAGTTTCTCACAACTGTCATGTACATCAGGCCAGAGATAACAAAAATGTAACCTAATATCTACCATTATGAAACAGCAAACAACATCAGTTTTCAACCTTATTAAAACCGAGCAACTGGTATTACTGATGTGACAGAGAGTGGCTGAGTTTCTTTCCATCATTATTAAGCAAATATGTGGCTCTGTCAAAGAGCAAATCTTCAAGAAAATCTGTGTGATGAGGTAATTTTATTACTCATTCATAGTGCCTTGTATTTGCTGTACTTAAAATAGACACTTGTACCCAGTGGCTTTTTATTACTGGAAGGAGGGTGGAGAGAGGGAATCACATACACGCTGGTCTTTTTTTCTTTCTCCTGGCAAATGGAAGCAATTCAATCCAACATGGCTTGAAACTTGAGTAGGTCACTGTATACCGTGATAGAATTCCCTAATCCCTGAGCCAAATTTCCCGAGGGGGCCCTCCTACTAGTCCTGCACTTTCCAAGCTGACTTTTCCATTCCTTCAGCCCTTTCCCCCCCCCCCCCCACTTCATCTCTTCATCTCCCTCTACCTTACAGCCTTGATATCCGATCTGCTGCTAGGATTCAGGTTTCAGTTTTTACAGCTTAGGCTGTCTATTGCTATATACATTCCTTTCTTTCTGCTCTGTCGTGATTACTTAGCAGAGCTTATTTTACACAAGTCCACATGAAAGCAGTTCAGATGAAGGGAAGCAGTCAAGCTGCTTGAACAGTTCAGATGTGCACCTACACAAGGGCACATTGTGTTCACCAGAAAATGTTGTCGTATACATTTCATACAATGCGACTAATTTGTTAAGTTACTGTACTCTTTAACTTAATGAAGAGGAGGAAATCTTTTTGGTATACCTTTCTTTCAGTAAGTGAAGAATTTTTGAAAGAAAGACAAGGAAATATCCAATGCACTTAGAAGGAACCAAGATGAAACCCTGCTCAGAACTTTAGTTATAAAAACACAGAATATGCTCTCCAAGCTTAATAAGATAACTAACTCTACGATGTAGCCAAGGCTGCCTGAAAGCTTCTGCTGTTATTCACATTTCAACCGCGCAATCTATAAAAGCTGTTCCCAAAACTATATCAGATCCACAGCCTTGGATTAAATTACTCATATAAATGAAACTCTGATATACTTATTTCTCTTATTGCTTTTCTTCCATTATCAGAGGATTAGGGGAAAGAGAGGTTTACCTGCCTTAAAATTAACACTAATGCTTAATAGACTTTCATAAAAAGAAAAAAAAATCTTGTGTAATTTTCCTCCTTTCACAGTGTTGTTTTTGTTTCTTCCTCACCATTTCAGACAAACATCTGTTCTACTGCAGAAGAACAACTATCTCCCAAACCACCAAGTGTGCCTGCAGCCAAAGTAAACAAAACAAACCCAGAGGATCCAGCATAGTCAGCCTTTATATCCAGCCAGGATAGCATTTCATATGTTTTGATTAAAATTAGCTAATTTGTAATGCTAGAACCTAAGAAACTGAAAAACTGCAGATCGAATGAAGCACTGTCTTAAACGGACAGTGCATAATGGGACAGAGTTCCATGCCCACTGTCCCCCTTCCTCTCTATCCTTACCAAAATAAAAATCCAAACAAGGTCTGACTAAGCAATTACTGTTAAATTCAAGTGTGCACAAAGCTTCCCCTAAGATAGAAAGTCTACCTACAAAGAGGCATATGTATATATGCCTGGAGATTGGATAAATGTTATAGATATGCAGGGCACTTTGTTCTTACATGTGTCACCACCACCTTTGTTCAAATGTCCATCTGCTGTTGGACAAACCTCCAATACAGAAAGAAACAATACAGACAAATAACAGATTGATTGAGTTTAAAAATTAAATATTAAAGCAAGCATCCTCTCCCAAATTGATTTGCTAAGCATAATAAGTAAAATGGTCTTGTTGATCCCTTTAGGTTGCTAGCCTTGGACCACATAGGCAAAGATTCCATGATGATGCATATTTAATTTCACACAACAGCTTTTTAAATTATTACATGCCAACAATGTATATTGGATATTTGAATATAACCTGTTAACGGAATGATTATGAATGCTCCATTTCACTAAATGCAACTTCGGTGAATGAATTGTATCCTATCTCAAAACTATATTGTTTTATTATTTGAAGCAAAGCAACTTCACTTCAGACCCGTAGGGGAGGTTTAGGGAAAGGAAAGATGAGAAACATAAAAATTAATGCTAACAACAATAACAGTGCTATCAGACAGTGATTTCATGTTCACCCAGGTGAATATTGTTTATTTATTTATTGGGCAACTTCTTAGATATTAGCCTCTGGAGTGCCAGCCCACAAAATTACCTCTAGAACACAGCTGGATTGGCACTATTTCCTGTGAGGATGCTGGTTTTACCTCCTCCATACACAATCACTCCAAACAGGTATAGATGATATACAGAATGTACACACACAGACATACATATTCATGCACCCTTCTAGGACAGCTTTCAATTCAACACTCTGCTTCCTTGATTAACTGTGAAGTGGAGCACAGAAAACAGACACAGAAGTAAAAGGGAGAAGCAAAAGACAAGAGATCCTGTGTCTAAGCTCAAGAATGATGTGCAGTTCAGACCATAACATTTCACTTTGACAATTTAATTACACAGTTGCAGCTGGCTACTGGAAAGGGGGCCAAGAGGGAGAGGGTGCTTAAACGACTTCCCTTCTTTTCTAACTTTTAACAGCTTCTAGATTATCTGGCTAGGATGGGCACATAGAAGGGAACTGAACCCCTTTGGAGAAAATATTATAAATAATAGTAGTTATAACCATCAACATATCAGATCCGCTTAGGGATCTGGCTTTATCGCCTGTGAACTCTGCAATTAGGAGGAGTTCAGGCACCTTTCGTCAACCCTATCTAAGGTTTTCTCTCCCCCCCCCCCAACAACAAAACAAGAGGTCTTTTATTTATATTATATTCTTCCATGGGGGGAGGGGAGACCGGAGTACGGGGGGGGGGGGTCTGCAAGAAGCTTCCCTCCTCTCCATCCCTCTCCCTTTTTCTTCCCTTTTCGCATCCGATAGTGATAAAGGGGAGCGCAGAGACGTACCTTCATCTCTTCATTGATTTCCCTTTTCACGGGGTGAGCCGGCTTCCTGCTTCTTTTATTTTCTGGAGGTCTCCCTTCTTTCTCCATTTCTGCCATGTTTTTTTTTTTTTGTTGTTTTGTGTGCGTGCGTGTGTGTGTCTGTGTGTTGTTTGTGTGTGTGCGCGCGCGCGCGTGTATCTACTTTGGTGGAAATGAAATGGCTGCTGGTATTATTTGGGAAAAGCTTTCGGGGGGGGGGGGAAGGTTGTGGAGAGGAAGGGAGGGAGGACGGGGGCGGCTTTTAGCGCGGGGAGAAAGCGTCAACGGGTGTCAAAAGGAGAAAGCGGCTCTGGGAGGGTCGGGGATGCGGGCGGGCCGGACCGTGGGTTGCCCGGGCGAGTCAGCCATCTTCTGTCTCCCTGTCTGTCTGCAGGGCCGAGCGCGAGAGACGGGCTCTGTGCGTGCATGGGGAGGGGGCGGCGAGGGAGAAGGAGGAGAGTCGGCCAGGAGAGAAAGAAAGAAGCCAGTCCAGTTCCTTCCAAAGAGCGGGCGGGCGTGCGCGCGGGCGGGGGGGGGGGGAGAAGCAGGACGTCCCCCTGCCCAGGCATTGGGCGGGGCTTCCAATACCATCAAACCCTCCGCCTCTTCTTCTCCTGCTGCTAGTTAGGCACCGATTCAAAGAAGCAGGGAGGGGGGCTTTTTATACTTAATTGTCATCACCTCTTTCCCCGCCCCCGCAGGGACTGTCGTCCCTTGTGGAAAATACAACAAGGAACTCCTCGGATCCTTGCTTTCCCCCCCCCCCCATCTTTTTTAATGGTGTTGTTTTTGGTAGTCACTGGTGGTCGCCACGTACCGTCCTCGGTTACACGCTCTTGCTCACCCACCTACCCCTTCGAAACCCAGTGACGGGACGCAATGGCAGGGACCCTTTATTAAAACGCCCTGTATTACAAAGACGCACTTAAGTAGCATGCATGGCTGGCCTCCAAACGTGCGGTGTGTGGGTGAGGGAGAGAGAGAGAGAGAAAGAGAGTGGCAGAGAGAGATAATTGAAAGGAAGGTCGCCTTAGGTTGCCGAAGTGGCCCACGGTAGTGGCAGCCAGTGGCAGTTTCTTAGGGCGAGTGAGAGAGAGAGAGAGAGAGAGAGAGAGAGAGAGAGAGAGAGAGAGAGTGTTTGTGTGTGTGTGTGTGTGAAAGGGAGCGCGCACCCTGGAACCCGCAGCCTGAGGATGGAGGATGCTGAGTGCTCAGGACTGGCTGGCTGGCGGCCCGCTAGCCCGCCCCTCTAGGCAACTCCACCTTTAGGAGAAAGCGGGAGGAAAAAGGCGCAAATGGAGGCTGCTCTCCACGCCTGTCTGCCCACGGCGCTGGGAAGGGAACGTTTCTACAGCCGCGTTGAAACCTCTCCAGCTGAGGCGGAGCTTGACGTTTTCGTGGGTGGGCGGCAGTTTGGAGGGAGCTGGGCCGCTGAAACGGCGCTAGTATTCGACAAGCAAAGACGTTATACCAACGGGGGGGGGGTTTTTTGCTTTGTTTTGATTTTGGCGGGAGGATCTTCTCCAGTCCCGCGCAACTAGTCCTCAAGGAAAGCTTCGCTTAATGTGTGGCATCAGGCTTTTGTCCCAGCATATTAGGTTCCATCTATGCCAATAATCAGCTAAATGATTGTGTGTGTGTGTGTGTGTGTGTGTGTGTGTGCCAACAACCAGCTAAATGATTGTGTGTGGCGGGGGGGGGCGTGTAAAGTTCGTCTCTACGAACATATTCTGAATTAATGGAAAGGACTCAACGCACCGTATCCCATAACCGAGTGTTATTTTTAAACATTAAAATCTGGAAACTAAACACGATCTATCCTTCTCAAATCTTTCATTCAGTTCTTCAAGGCTGCCTGCCTTTATAGATCTGGGAGTCCGAAACGCCATCGCCCCAGAGTCGTATTAGCACCCATCCTTTCATTCTGTTTGTTCTGTTCGAGAACTGACTCGAACTAAGTCCCCTCTGCCTCCGAGTTTTGTTTCGGAGAGACTTGACTACTTCTTCATCTCTGTTGAAAGAAAATGGAAAATGAATAGTATGATAGAAGACGATACTTGGAACTAAGTGCTGGATTAACGGTACACACGGAAGGAGAATGCACTGATTATATTCGGTCGCACACACCTACTCTTTAATAGCTCATAATTATCTGATACTATACAATAGGGAGGTGTCCATTTTCCATTAGTGAAAATCATAATTACGAAGTAATTTGTCATTATGTCTGAAGTTGATCTTAAAATTATATATATATATACATGCACAATACCCAAAGAGAAAATTACCCAAAATGTGCAAAAAAGGCTCTCATATTTTTTTTTAAAAAAAGTACAATCTGTCAAAATTAAGTTTGCTTCCAATTCTTGATCTGCATTTTATTTATTACAATTGGCTCATTGACACTAATGGGGCCCTAATTATAGGAAAAAGAGCATGCTAAGGCAGAATTTTAAAAATCTTTTAATCCAGGTGCACATCAAATTCTGCTGCATTTATTCTGAAATTGATTTAGTTAAGGACTGAGATTTGCAGTCTGTAAAGCTCTTTTCAGATCCTGAAGTTGAAACTCAAATACTTTGGCCACCTAATGAGAAGGAAGGAGAAGAGCCTAATGCTGGGAAAGATTGAGGGCAATAGAAGAATCGGACGACAGAGAATGAGGTGGCTGGATGGAGTCACTGAAGCAGTAGGCGTGAGCTTAAATGGACTCCAGAAGATGGTAGAGGACAGGAAAGCCTGGAGGAACGTTTGTCCATGGGGTCGCGATGGGTCGGACACGACTTCGTAACTAACAACAACAACAACAAAGCTCTTTTAGAAAAAAATTCCCAGACAATTTTCAATGCAATTTATTTCCAGAATTGAAGGATATTATTGCTTGGGGTATATAGAGTTACACCTATATAATGATACAGTAGAGCTTTACAGTCTTTCAATAATTACAGGAATACAAAATTGTAATGCATTCATCTATTCTGCAATATTTATGCAATATTCATTTTAAAAACATTTTATCATTATTATTATTATACATATACTAAAGAACAGAGGTTCCTAAATTTTTTGCCATCACACCTCCCTTTAGTATAATCAATGTCCATACCTCCCCTAAAACTCTAAACACCAAAATGAACATAAATGAACAATGAAAACAATACAATGAAAGTTGGGGGAAGAAGGATTTGTTGTAACAATGTACAATTCAACAAAGGGTTCTTTACACCCCCGTGGAGTCTGTTTGCACTTCCCAAGGAAGATACACATCACAATTTGAGAAACCTTGCTATAGAGGTATGAGTTGGAATTAAAATTAGAGAACACCAATCATTTCCTCTCTAACACTTCCTTAGCATATGCTCATGATGTAGCAGTACAACGTCTTGCTAAGATATGCTGTTCTCCCATTGTGCTCTTGATTGGCTAACAAATTGTGTTGTATTGCCAGTTTTCCTAAGGGATGTATATTCTAAGGGCACTGATTGATAAATAGCTAATAGCATGTATTTCCTTACTTAAAATTCAGGCATCTCTCCCAATCTCTACCAATGACTGATGAATGTTGGTTTGTCTTTGTAAACATATCTTTCTAGAAAGGGTGAAAAGTGCAACAAATTACACACTGAAGTAGCTTAAGCAGGAAATACACAAATACACACACACACACACACATATATATATACTAGTGTGCTATACAAAATATTGGTGCACTGTTCAAGCCTTCAACTGTATGTCAAAGACCGCTATATGTTTGGGCCATGCTACTGTATTAGCCAGACTGGAACAAGTTTGGAAAAAAATGTCTCAAAGGTGCTTTTTCAAAAGGTAAGAGGACTTTTCCCCTGAAGAAGAAGTAAAAGATGTGTTGCTTCTCATGCAAGAAGCTTCATTGGTTCTGGCAGGATGGAGGGGGTAGGTTGGAAGGATCATATTTCTTTGTAGTCATCTGATCGTTAGCACTCTCCCTGAGAGCTCTTGAGGCCACTTGGGGGTTTATCTGTGCCCTCGGGGTCACTTGTACCAGAGTGCAAATGGGGACGGAATCTTCTTGGAACTGCTGAAAGGACTGAGTTGTAGACAGGGTCCACATTGATCATTGGTTTGAAAGAGGGGTAAAAGAGACCATTTATGTTAACATTGAACAGTTCTCTCTCACAGCGAGAGAGGGATAAGACCCCCACTATCTCCTTTCAGCAGTCCTTTCACAAGTTCCAAGAAGATCCCATCCCCATTTGCACTTTGATACAGGTGACCCTGAGGGCACAGATAAACCGCCAAGTGGCCTCAAGAGCTCTCAGGGAAAGTGTTAACGACCAGATGATTGCAAAGAAATATGATCCTTTCAATCCCAAACCTCTGCCCCAATTCTGTCAGAACAAATCCTTTCATCGCCTCCATCATCCTGCCAGAACCGATGAAGTTTCTTGGATGAGAAGTGAAATCTCTTCTTCCTCCTCCTCCTCCTCAGGGAAAAAACAGACTAGTTGTCTTTTGAAAAAGCTCCTTTGAGACAACTATGACCCGGATGACTGAGAATCTCCACAGATATTTGGGAAAAAATAAAATCACATCACAATACAAATCAAAATGCTGAAGGTTAGAACACTTGAAATGACACCATGCAAAAGAGTTTGAGCAAAGGGGAGATTGGATTTGTAAGGATATTCCAATGTCTGTGTAAACTACAAGTGATGAAAGGACCCAAGTCATGGCTACTGCCACCTATCAAATAGAGGCAGAGCAGAAATGTGGATAAAAAAAATTCTGACTCAAATCCCTTACTCATTGTATGAAACCCATGGTTATTTTCCCATTACATAGCTGGAAAACTGAGACTAGACAATAGTATCTTTTTCAAAATGTACATGCAATAAATATACATCAGAAATAGCATTTATGCATGGTGCATAATCATACCTGATCCCTTTACTAGTCAATATAGTCATTGACCCATTTACCTTCTGGTTATTAAGTCCCAGATTTGGTTAATAGTGCTCTCTGGTATTTATGTTTCCTCATCATTGTCTTTATNTAGTAAAATGTATGTCTCTACAATGTACAGTATCTATTTTCTTTAT